ACACTTGTCCCCTGGGTGCCAAACCTTTGTTTTTTCTTGTTTCTATCAGCCCCTTTCACAATTCATGCCACCTTTTGTTAAATCACCTGAATGAAAGATGAGCTATTCGAATAGCTTAGTTCTTGTTTTTTAAATGACTAAACTTCACAGATACCCTACACAGGATGGCTTATATGTGAACTTTTGTGTAATTTGCACATTGCCTTCCTTCATGCAACTTCTGTTCGCTGGTTTTGTTCAAGAAATGATGAATGAACGTTTTAGAGATCGGCTGTGTCCGAGACTCACACGGCCTTTGGTCCCCCATCCAGCCAGTGTGTGTCAAGTGCCCTGCACCAGGATCCGTCATTGCAGAAGATCAGGGCTACCTAAGCAAGACCTGGGGGCTTTATAGACTGTTGTGGAATTAGTATCCCAAGCAGAGATAGTCATCAAAACGCATCTCAGTTAGAGTTTACATAGGAAAGCCTACTTATCCAGCACCTGGGGACTGGTTCTTTAATTGTCACTGTTTGTTAGATGCTTTGTGGTCCTTGATTGTTTTACTAGAAAGTGTTTATTTTGGGTATTGTGAAATAATTGCAAGATAACACAGAATATAAAGAAATGGCAAGAAATCATTGGAAGTGTCAAGTTATCTTGTCCTTGGGGTTTTTCCCCAGTGGTCACTACTGTGATACTAGCTTTAACTTAAGCAGGATCAAAACAGATATTTATCAGCTTAAGAGATTATGAGTTTCAGTCACATAAACTCCTAAGTATTTGAAGGCTTAAACTTCACCCTTCTAGAAGATATTCAGTTATGAAAAATAAACATGGAAGTTAAATGGTTGCAAATTATTACCTCAGAGAATGAAACTTCCCAACTTTAGTTTATTACATTTCTGTGCTGCCCAAATAGCTGAAACTTTCTGGGCACTTTATGAAATATTAAAATGTATTTTTAATCCCAGAACCAGTTAAAACCTGTCAAATCTTGGATGCAGAGGAAAGATTCAGTCTGGCACTGGAAGGACAACAGGGTTGGCACCAGGCAAGTCTCCATAGGGAGACATTCTGCATCCAGAGAAGGCCCTTTCCCTTGCTGCCACCCCTCAAACCTCTCCTGAAGGTGGCTTCTGGAGGAGGACCTTAGGTGGCAATCATAACATATGAATTGGGTTATACTAGGACAGATAGTCCCTCAGTTCCAAGCCATGAAAGATTTATGGATCAAGCCTGGCACCTTGAATTAAGCTTGGAAACATAAGCAACCAATAAGAGAGCCAAAATGGACATGATATGTTCAGACCCTCTTGTGGTCCCCTTAAGCCATTTAGCTGCCATATTTTGCACAAGCTTCAGTTTCTGAACCATCATCAAGGAGAGCCCCGTGGACCGTATGTTGCTGTGATCCAGCAGAGGTTACTAAGGCATAGGTTGCAGAAGCCTGGTTATTCCTGTCCTGACGGGGTGTAGACAGGCCACCGGCTGAAGATAGTTGGAGGTATTCCATGCCACTGTGACCACCTGAACCTTCCGTTGACATTGACTCCAGGAGAATCCCCAGACTGCTTCAGGGGGAATGCAGCCTCAAACAGATCTGCTTGAAGATCCTCCATCTAGCATCTCAGTGTTGCCTGGATTGAGTTTCAGTTTATTAAGCCTCATCTAGTCCATCCTTACAGCCAGCCACTGATTTGGCACATCCATAGCCTCACCTGATAAGGGTGAAAAGCATACTGATGGCAGCCCACTCAAAAACTCTGGCTGAGCCAAGCACCAACCTGACCCATCCGTAATGATGAGATGACCCCACTCAGCACTTCATACGGAAGTTGAACAGCATGGGAGACAGAGCTGAACCTCCAGAACTCTATCCTAGAGAATCCATGGGGCTGAGCTATATCTCCCTTGGCTTGTTCTAGGGATCAGCCAGGTTCAGATGACAAAGTGACTTGCTTCTACGAGGGTAACGATGGAAATGCAGCAGTTCACAGCCAGTACACACCAGACAGAGGAAAGAAGAAAGTGTTATTTCCTTTAAGATTGTCCACCTTAAACTGGGCCGTACATATCCAGAATAGCAGCACAGCAAGGAAAATGCTATATAAGTGAAGACCTCCATATTACTCAAGCAAGTGGCCTGAATCACTATGCGATAAGGAACATAAACATTCACACCCACCCACCCACACAAAAGTTGGAAGCTATTCTGACTTGGAGAAAGAATCCTTCTCAGTAGTGAATAATCAGATCCTTGGTGGACAAAACCCATCCCCTGAGCTTTTCCTGAAAGGTATGATAATGCATCTCAACGCTACTATTCTGCAGCTGACCGGTAGCAGTGGCAGTCTTGCTGCAGGAGAAATTGGTTCTGAGGGGAAGGAATAAATTTTCCTGATCTCAGCAGTCCTCCACCAAAAATGACTGAGCAGAAAATGACAAGTTTCGCACATTTTAACTCTCTTTCTTTAGGCTCCATTCCAGGGAGGTGACAGAAGGATGCAACACCTGTACTATATTTTTTTAAAATCTTCTGTTCTCCAAGGTGCGGTGGGGTTCCATCTCCACAGGGCTGAGCACAAGAGGCTCTTTCCCTTGTGTTGCTCATTTGCATGCTTTTCTGTGCAGCCCCCCCTCATCTGATCCCAAAGCCACACCACACTAATTATCCTCAGAAAGGGAGGGGTTTCTATGGCAACTGAGTACTTTTTAAAGCACCAGGAATAGTGTTCATTATTGTTCAGTGTCTTAACAGTGCAGGGAAAAGGTCAGCATGGCAGTTTCTTTCCATATGAATTTTGGCCTCCGTGCTTAAAAGAGTCTGAAATGTGCCTGCGACACTTGTAAAATGGTGAGTGATAACTGATATCACGAGTTTTCGGCTTGCATTTATTGTCTTGGGAAAGGGGCACAGCAGAGTATTTTCATGGGAGAGAAACTTGTGCAAGGGGGGGGGAGCTTCCCACGGAATGATGCTCTCCCCACGCACACTCTTTGATATTGCAAAAGGAGATTTTGACCATTTACAGTAAGTTTTGCAAAATTGTATTTTGTTTTGTTTCATGTCTGAATAGAAATGTTTTATGGACTGAATATAAAACTCGTTTAGTTTGCTACTGGCAGTCAGTCATGACTTCAGTGTGCAGCTCAGATTTCTTCCTCCTTCCCTGTACATTTGGCAATATAACGTTGTGCAATCCTGAAACTGTTTTGGGGGAAAGAGGCGTAAATGGGGAATTTGTGCCAGGTGTTAGAAAATACAATTTATTCCCTATATAGCTGTACATTTCATTGCTATACAAGACATGTCCATTGGAAAATAAAAACAGGACCTGGCCCAGAGAGCTGTAATCATTGGGCAGGAATAACATAAATCCAGTGTATCAAAGCTTTCTCCACTTGCTTCGGTGCCTGACATGATTATACAAAGTCTTTATTGTGCAGCAACATTTTTTTTCTAATTGCATGTGGATATTTTCATCAGATGAGTACAGAAGCAAGTTCATTTAATTAGAGGAGTAGCTCCTGTGGTGAAAGTTAAACATATATAACTTGACACCAGAATTCTGTGTGGCTTTTATTGTGGAAACTGCTTTCATGAAGCTGTGCGGTTTGGTTTTATACTGAGGAAGAATTTGGACTAATCTGTGTGGTTTTCAAGCAGTGGCATTGGGCACAATGATTTGAGCACTGTCTTTGCAGTACAAACGCTTAAACTGGGATTGATTACGACAACCTGGTAACATAAAATTTGACTTCTCTTTAGGATCAATAATTGTAGCAGAGTATCTAAAGTGCACTTTTTCTTCTCACATGAACTCATGCACACAAACACCACAAAATATATGATAATAACCTTAAATTTAAGTGTGTAATTATAAGAACCAGCAATTTGTCGCTTATATTTAGGCTAAAGATTTCTGAGATTAATGATTGTTAATGAAGGTCTTCCCTTAAAACAAAAGAGAGGTAGTTAACAACTGACATAAAAATGCATGTTCCCTCCTTAGAGTAGATTTAAAACCATTTTTCTCTTGATTGTGCATTCTTGACACCAATGTCGTTTGAAGAGGCTGACTGCAGTATTGTAGAATATATTTCATTACTAAAGAAAAGAAAGAATGTAGGATGTTTTCCTATAAGTAAGCCAGATCTCAGGGATTCTTAAGGGAATTAATGTCCATATTTTGCATCAGTGGCATTTGACTTGCAAGTAAGGTTTCATTGCCTTTTGGGAATTCAAATCAAGTTATTTTATTTTTTCCCAGGCTACTGGAATTCCCTTAAGGATGCCACTATATTGTACCATTTCAAGCCTCCGTCACACTGTATCATTATTATCAACAATTTGGAATCACTAAATGGAAATGATAAGAAATAAGGTGGAATTGCAGATTAGCAACATATGAGCGTTACCTCTGTGATTGTCCCTTGGCTTACTGTATTTGCAAACAGAGTTCTTACCTTTTCTTAATTGGTCTTAGTTCTGCACCTTTAACAACAACCAGACTTACGGGTTACACTTTTCTTATGGACTTTCTTCATGAGCTCAGAACACAGTCTGCTGAATTTCTGTATTCTAGACTGCTGCTAGTCATGGAAACAAAGCCAGAAAGGAATCTGGTGGCCTTGTTCTGAAGAGCTTTTTGAACATCTTCCATTTTACATTTTGTATTTGTGTACAGATATACCAGAGCACACCTGTCACAGCTGTCATGGCAGAAAGATGTCATGTGTAACATTTGGTAGGTTAATACTTTCCCCACTCCCCATGGCTGAGATTTTAAAGGGACAATCACTGTCTAGGTGTGTGAGCCCTTCACACTAGACAAGAGTTATGCATAGTTTCAATTCTGGGCATTTCTACCAAAGGACAAAAGTTCAAGCAAGAATCAGCCCTGAAACATACAGTTAAGATACATACAGTTAAGCTAAGCTCATGAGCTTCACAATTAGGAATTTCTGACTTATTGATTAATTATAAATGTGATTAACCCGCTTTACTTTGTTTTCAGATGCCTGACCAGTTTGATCAGAATGTGGTGCTGAACCAGCTGCGTTACTCCGGTATGCTTGAGACTGTGAGGATACGAAGAGCTGGTTTTCCAGTGCGGAGGCCGTTTCAGGATTTTCATAAAAGGTAAGCTTACTTTCTGGGTTTTTTAAAAAAACATATTACACCGGGGGGGGGGGTGTGGTCCAAGAATAACGATAAGAAAGAGAAATGCACATTGTTATTACTGTTCTCTTCCTGCAGATACAAAGTTCTGATGAGAAATTTGACACTTCCTGAAGATATAAAAGGAAAGTGCACTGCTCTGCTTCATTTGTATGATAGCACAAGCACCGAATGGCAGCTTGGAAAATCTAAGGTAGCATAAAATTGAATTGCTAATACAAGACGAGGGCAACAATTAACTTCTCTTCTAGCTGTGGTCCTGTTTGTGTATTAACTCATGGTTCGCACAGCTTGCCAAGTGACTTTGCCTCAGTTCCTAATCCAGCTAAAAGTTAGCAGCTGATGTATTTACATTGGCATTATCAAACAGCAGTAAAAGTGCTTAATTTTTATACCGTGTAGTGCAGTGGAAATACCTCTCAATTTGCTGTTTCTGGACTTTGGACTGCATGTCTCTAAACGCGGGAAACGGTGTTCTTCCTGGCTAAACAGAGTGCCAGTGCCTGCACTCTGACCTCCAACAAAATCAGTTCATTGCCAAACAGGGTGGTCGCCTTTGCACCGCGAGGCAGCTCTGCACATGCTTGGCCATGGTGCATATGAGAAATGCCCCCTTGCTTTTCTACTCGCCTATTTCCCCCATTGTCTCCTGAAGCTATATTTCCAGGCAGGCTTTTTAACCCGATCGCAGAGGAAAACAATATCTGTATACAAGACAGTAGCTTTTCGCCCTAAGAGGAGATGCATCCCTTGAGGGGAAGAAAGTGAGTGTTGGGGAATTGAACACCAATTCGGATGTTACATTTTCTGCCGCAGAATGCTTTATGTTGTTCTCAGATGTCCAAACACATTTTCTATATGCATGTTTCATGAACCTAAGCTGATGTTGCTGTAGCAATCCGCAAATGTAGGTGCCCAGCCATGACATGAAACCCTTGCAAATGGCTGTGAGTCTTTTTTCCCACCTTGAAGCAGAAACCTTTGCATGCATGGAAGGGTAAACTAACACCTCGGAGTGAATGTATTATCTCTAGCAGGGCATGGAGGTTCCAGCTCTCAGCAGTTTCGTGTGAATGGAAGCTTATGTGCCCTTGTCTCTCTTTCCATCTTTTCCTCTCTTTCAGACTGAGATGAGACTTCAGAAGCAAAGTCCTTTCATTAGCACTTAACAGGTTACAAAATAGTATAGATCAGAATAGTGTTCTCTGAGATGCAGGAGAAGCATCTGCCCATGTGAAGAGTTTTGCAGAAAGGTCTTGACTGCACCCTCAGGCTGGCTCTTGCTGCATGAGACCCACACAGTGGGAACGCAGCCCACTCGCTTCACCTGTTATTCCTTTACGGGTCAAGGAACCCTCCTCAGCCCCCTCCCTACCCCACTCCAAAATGTCTCCCTCCCTTTCCCAGTGGACTGGTTCTTGCAGTCTGCCTGCAGTTTGCATTTGCGGTAACCTCCTCAGAATCTGCCAAATCTGTCTATGGAAACAAGAGACTGAGAGCCAGGCACCCTCTCCATAGTAGACCCCCTTTGTGTTGCCCATTTCCCTTTTGTACCTCTGCAGACATTGCTCTGTGGCTGTAGCTGGCTGGGAGATGCAGGGAGTTGCACCTGGAAGGAACCGGACTGGGAAAGCCAGGTCCTTGTTGACATTGCTGCACAGGGCTGTCTGGAAATCAGCCCAGTACTTTCTCCCATGCCCTCTCATATGTTCACATGTATATGTACATGCAAGCATATGGAGCTTCTGCAGCACAGCTTAATGCAAGACTTACTATTGGCCTCACTGCATGCAGCCAACTTTCAGCAATTGGGCCGCACTGAAATGTGATAAGTAAGTCAATAATTAATGTTTTTCCTTATTGGAGCAGATTGCTGCTTAGCAAGCCTTCGTAGCAGCATCTGTGTGTGTGTGTGTGGAGGGGTTGGGGGACTTTTTAAAATCTTGGTTGACTAACATAGTCTTGAAGCTGTGCATGGAGAAGGTCTTGACAGAGCTGTGGATCTGGATTTGACCTGTCTCTTCCTGTGGATGAAGCAAATGGCCCTTAATAAGGAGAAAAGTGGCTCCACCTTGAGGGCAGATATCAATTTGTCTACAATAGCCTTAGCCTCCTTGGTCTGAAATATTCCAGATGACTGTATCTTTGTAAGTCACATTACAATGACACTACGAAACCCCCTTTGCTTTCATTTTTGCAATGCTTAAGGTGTTTCTTCGTGAATCTCTGGAACACAAGCTGGAAAAAGAGCGAGAGATAGAGGCTGGCAAAGCAGCCATGGTCATCCGAGCGCATGTCTTGGGCTACATGGCACGGTACGTAACTGGAGCTGTATTCGACTCAGCCAGGCTGATAGGCAGTCTAATTCAGTATTGTCAGATCTGTCCAGCAAGCTGGGGCCATAAACTCACTTCAGCCAGACTTCCTGTGCTCTGCTACTTGAGATAGGGTAAGATTTAGTAGTATATTGAGTAGGGCGACCATTGGTGCCATCACAGCAGAAACTACACCTTCTCACGACATTGTGTGGTGGGCATGACACTTAATCACTTAACTGCATGCGTCAGGCTCTTCTTGCTTGGAGTCAGTCTTTGAAAGCCACAGACTGTCACTGTCTGTCTCTCTTTCCAAAATGTTCTCCCTTGGATATGGAAATGTGCATGCTTTGATCCTGATAGGCAACTTTCTCAGGAATAATTCGATGAAGACACAAAGTCCTGCTATATTAGCCTATTTCTAGGGGACATTCTGTTCTCAGGTGGTGGTCTAGGGGCCAAAAGTGTATGTTGCCACTTATACTAACTCCCTGCTGGATGGCCAGGCTCTGTAAATCTACCAGGCATTTCAAGTATTATGCATTTGTGTGTTTTAGTATTTTCTTAACTGAAAATCTATTACTTTAAGTTCCTGCTATGTCTTTTTTTTTAGCTTCTATATTGATGGTGGCTTTAGCATTTGTAATCTCCGTTCATTATGGTCTGCTCTTTAGTTCAGTTTTATGCAGTTTATTTTAATGTTTTAAAACTAGATTTGTGCAGTAACTGGAGGATCACTTTAGATATTTAATAAAAGTACAAAATAAATTTAAAAGTTGATGCCACTTGGAGAAAGTGCCACATAGTTACGGAGCTCATACTTTCACATATTGTAAGGACATTACATGAAGACGCCAATGAGATGTATCAGTACAATGTGTAACCTGTTCTTCTTCCGCCTTCAGAATATTTTTCACTATCATGCAGAGTCTGGTACAACAGGTGGGTTTGCATGCCATGGCAACCCATCATGCAAATACGCTATGCAGGAACAACCCACGGTGCACCCCAGAGATGACTGGGCTCATGGTGTGCTGTCCCCTGCCTCCTTCCCTCTCAGTCCTCCACATGGAATCTCAGGGGAGTTGGCAAGTAAAGGCCTCTTTTCCCAGATTCAGCTGAAAATTCTTTTGCACTTCCCACAATTTTTCCCCTTTCCCCTTTTTTCATGATCTCTGAGGTAACATCCAGTGACAACAAAGTTCCCATAAAGCATGTTGTAGGGGCTGTCACTTTTTAGTGCAAGAAATCTGTGTAAATGTTTTTGTTTCTTTTTTTTTAAATAGCCAGTTCTGAGACAATACTTGGAGGCATCCAAAATGGCAGTCCTTCCATGGACAATGCCGTGGGATGTGTTTGCTGTCAGAGTTGCAGCAGCCAGCACCCATGATCGTTGACACGTATTGGCTGCAAATAGGTTTATTTGTTAACTGTGTATTCTTTTGACAGCTGTCAAAAGGTGGGCCGTCAAGGAAAAATAAAGCTGCAAGGGATGTTTGCAGGGATTGGAGGCTTCCCCCTCACCTTTCCCAATGAGATTATCAGGATTTTTAGTCGTCGTCGTCCCCCTGCCCCGTCATATGCTGGGCATCCCCTCCCAAGCAAGACAGTATCTCCAGCACTTCTTGTAAGAGTCTTTATTCTACACAGGAAACCTAAGCATTCACAAGCCTTTGAGCATACACAAGAAGTATTGATGCCTCTCTGCCCCACTTTACCCAAAGCTTTGCTTATGAACCCCTTGGGTCTCTGGAAAGCGAGGCGCTGTGAAAGCGCAGGCACCTGCCTTCCGAACTCTGAGCCCCTGATTGGTCCAGCCAATGACGAGCCCTCGGGTCCATGTCTTCAGGAGGCTCATGCTCTCCCTCCAGGAACTCTCCTCCCCCCCCCCATCCTTAGTCAGTCTTATTCCCACAAGCAGGAGGGAGACTGGGCCCTGTGGGTATCCTTGAGCTACTTTCATCCAGGGCCAGTGGAGACTGGCATGGCAGAGGGGAGTTGCGGTTGTGGGCCTCTCTGTTACCACAACAATTCCGTTAGCAGAGTGTGAGCTCTGAGCCTGATCTGGTTCAGCCAGCTCCCCACCATCCTCCGAGTCTGAGCCGTCAGTCCCACCAGAACTGCCTGTGCCTGGGAATCTCATCAGCGCACGTGTGCACAACACCACCATAGTTCCCAGTGCCCCACTTTGCCCAAGGGTCACTGAGCCGTGGACCGTCATGGCAGTCATCCAGACAAGCGCCACAAAGATGGGGAGAGGGTGTTGCCACTCCTTTCAAGCAGCTTGCCTGCTGCTTCCACTTCGCACAATGAGGTCAGTTGCCTGACAATCCATCATCAGTAGAACAAGATATGAGTTGTTGGGGTGGCTTGCTGCCCACAAACAAGCCACCCTGTGCAAACACAACCACCCACTGTAGCTAGCAATCCACCACAGGCTGTCGTGTCACACAAAGCCAATTCATAACCTACATAAGATGGTCTCTGCGTGATTTGTGCCCTGTGCGCTGTATGTAGGATGTGGCATCTCAAGGAGATGTGCTGGCTTAGAAATGCTCCGCATCATGTGGAAGAGCCCTGTGATGACTGAGTCTACATTTGACAAGAGTGCTAGGAAAAAAGCCATCATGAGAGGATTTTTCTTCCAGATCTTCTCTAAGCAACACATGGGTGGCCTGGTGATTTACTCCATCTGAATATTCGCTTTGGTTTTTGGTTGTGACTTGCAAAGCACTTACTTGGATGTGGTCCACATTTTATTTATGCTCTCAGGAGAAAGAAAATGTGAAGGGTTGTAGTTTTAGTGTCTTTGCAGTGGCAGAAGGAAGGAAATAGCAACTGAGAAGAGCAAGCCATTTAGCTTACTCCCCCCACCCCCCAGGAACAAAAGAACAATGGAATGAGGTGACTGAATTATGACACTTTATTTGCTTACTGAATGCCATGCATTATGTGCTAGAGCCTGAGCAGTGGATGCCATCTGTTGACTCCCTTCATAAGTCAACAGAGGATTGTTCAGTGGCTGTTTGTGCAATGAGGTCATTTCTTCTCATTTGTATATTAGATCTGTATATTAGACCTATATATCTTCGAGAGTATTTTTCTTTTAAGAGCAAAACTTCTTTTCTTAAGGACAAAAGCCACCTTCCAATTTCAACTTCCTTTCTTTGTGTCAGGAATTACATGTCAAACAACATCGATGGGTTATGAATAGATGCTTTTGGTCAGCGATATCAAAATGTGTTTGCTTAAGCAAGATGCATCTTTTTCTCTTGTAAAGGAAACAGAGCTGAGTTTAGGAGAACAGTAGCTTGAACCACAGTGAAGAGTTTTCTTGGAGCTGAGCTAATATTGCTGCCCAGAAGCCTTCCTGAAGTGCTTGGATTACTTTAATTTATGCCCATATTAATGGTTCTGGTAGCCAGTTCATCGCCCCTTCACACAGAGACATCTCTATCTTATTTCTGTCTTATTTCAGAAAGCACTACAGAAAGGTCCTTTACTACGTGGTCATCATACAGAAGAACTACAGAGCTTTCTACTTACGGAGGAAATACCAGCTCCTAAGGAAAGCAGCCATCACCTTCCAGAAACAGCTCCGAGGCCAGCTTGCCCGCCGTGTCTTCAAACAGCTGTTGGAGGAAAAACGGCAGCGAGAGGAGGAGCAGAAGAGAAAGGAGGAGGAGGAAAGGTGTGGCATATATTATCAGTTCTTTTTATCTGGTAGACAACTTTGCTTTCATGAAAAATAGCTACAGCAACTTTTAAAATTGTGTTCAGGTATTGTTGAGCACATGGTATTTAAAATCCCCCTAGATCCACCCCTAACTATGCCTTCATTTTGATTTCTTTGTTTCTAACGTTTTGTATTACCGTTTTAGAAAGAGACAAAAACAGGAAGCAGAACGTCTTGCTCGGCAGGTAAAAGAAAATGTTGCTTTTTTCTGATGGAATAACTTTTATTGCAGATTAATATTTGGTGGAGGGGATTTTCTCTGGGAATCAGCACTAATTGCAAGAGAACTCGACAACATTGTTGGTCTCTGATTTCTGCACCGTGCCTCTCTTTTTCTGGCAAGGTTTTAAGCACTGAAACGTAGGACTGACCAAATTGGCCACCTGTGTTGTTCTGTCCTACTGCCCCCTCTCTAATGTGTCTCATACTTTGCTGCACGTGCCAGTGCTGCTGTGTGGGGTTCGATGACCTTCGGGATGGGAGTGAGAAGGCCAAGAAATGTAGAATATAATGCTTTCCAGAGGATACGGGGCATATGGGGTGGGGGCTCCTTGTGGGACTGCTAGTTTGAGCAGCAGGCCAGCATTTCCTAAGAAATGTACTTCACCCTCAGGGTCGTATGCAGGGAGCTTTGTGCAGCTGAATGTAATGCTGTTTTGACAAATTTCCTCTACAAAAGAGGGAGGGGAGTTCTTCAGGGGGACCATGGTGGAAGAACGCCGTAGAAACGTGTGTTTCTCAAATGCAGGCAGAGGAGGAGAGGCGGCAGCGAGAACTGGCAGCTCTTCAGAAGGCCCGACAAGAAGAAGAGCTAAAGCGAGAGCTGGAGAAGCAAAAGGAAAACAAGCAGGTCGAAGAGATCTTGCGCCTGGAAAAAGAGATTGAAGACCTGCAGCGCATGAAGGAGCAGCAAGAACTGTCGCTGACAGAGGCTTCGCTGCAGAGGCTGCAGCAGCTCCGAGATGAGGAACTGAAACGCTTGGAGGACGAGGCCTGCCGGGCAGCACAGGAGTTCCTGGAGTCCCTGAATTTTGATGAGATTGATGAATGTGTCCGAAACATTGAGAGGACGCTGTCTGTGGGTGGCGGGTTCTGTGCAGAGCTGAGTGATTTGACTGGCACCGGAGGCACCGAGAAACCCAATTTTAACTTCAGCCAGCCGTACCCCGAGGAGGAGGTCGACGAGGGCTTTGAAGCAGACGACGACGCTTTTAAGGATTCACCTAACCCGAGTGAGCATGGCCACTCTGACCAAAGGACAAGCGGCATCAGGACGAGCGATGACTCCTCAGAAGAAGATCCGTACATGAATGATACCGTAGTGCCGACAAGTCCTGCTGCCGGCAGCAGCACTCTCATTCCTTCTAGCCAAGATGCTCTCAGCCACTCCTCCAGCGGTGAATCCACGTACTGCATGCCAGAAAATGTATCCTGCAGGCCCCAGGATTCTTCAGACCTAATTTCTCCTGAGGGGGACTATGATTATGACCAGGATGATTATGAAGACGGCGCCATCACATCTGGAAGCAGCGTGACCTTTTCCAACTCTCACAGTAGTCAGTGGTCTCCCGACTACCGCTATTCTGTGGGGACATACAACAGTTCTGGAGCATACAGGTTTAGTTCTGAGGGAGCTCAGTCTTCTGTAAGTATTGCTTTCTTTGCCATTACACATACTCTGAGAAAGACTAAGTAATATTAAGATACCTTTGCTTCTGTGCAATATGATCAAATTGATGTAGCGCAGTTGTCTCTGTCAAGGCCTGCTCTTCCTTAACAACCCATGGATCAAAATAGCTTTTGCACCAACTTCGTCCATGTTTTGCTAGGGGATCCTTCTCATCATTTGTGGCCCTTCAGTCTTTACAAGTGCACAAAAGAGAATCAAAAGCTTACATGAAAAACCACCAACCTATTTCAAGTGCAAACTTCACTTAACTGCAAGATTCAGTGTATCCATATGCACACACATGCTCATATAAATTGTTGAAATTAATTTCCTGGCGCTGACTGTGGTGGCCATAAGCATCTGTGCTGTGACTTCATAGCCCTACATTTCTGGGACTTAACAAATTGATGAAATTTTTCCCAGAACTATAAATGTCACAACAGAGGAGCACCATGAAAGCCTCGCCTGATGTTGAGCAGTCATCATGAAGAAGACTTTGGGCCAAGGAGAATGAAAGTGTCTGAAAGATTCAGCTTCAATAAAATGAGCATTTTCTAACATGTAATATGTAGTGTTTACAGACACAGATGAGGAGTTCTGTGCCTCAGCTCTGAAGTTGATTTCTGCCCCTACCAACAAAGCTTATAAAAGATACCTTCTTACCTTGTGTATGGTTTAAATAACTTACACTTCTTTATCATGAAGGGGGGGTTTAGAATTAAAGTAGCTATTCTGCAATCATACTTAAGTGAATTTGTTGCCTATCAAAAGAAAAAAGCAGAGGTTTAATTTTAATTAGCATGAATGAAGCAACATATGGCTGACAGATTCTATTTTGCAGAAGCAAGGCAAACTATTAACGATTCTATATGATTTTTTTTCTGTGTTCCTCTTCTTTTTAAAAAAATGTTTGTATTCTAGAGGGGGATTTGTGTATGAGCTATGGAACATTTAATATAATGTCTGAATGGGAAGGACCAATTTAGACGTTATACACACTTTGAGGAATTGCACCTGAGAAATGGGTACTTCCTTCCCTTCTTCCTTGACTGTGTGGAAGAGTGAAGAATCAGACAGGGAGATCCTCAGAATACATAGCAATGGCATCTGAACAGTTCTCGAGTTTGATGAAAACATACCAAGTTTTGCTGTTTTATAAGCTGATTCCCTGTGCTGCGTTGATCTTTCAGTTTGAGGACAGTGAGGAAGATTTTGACTCCAGGTTCGATACGGATGATGAACTTTCATATCGGAGAGATTCGGTCTACAGCTGTGTCAGCCTTCCCTATTTCCACAGCTTTTTGTACATGAAAGGTATGGAACAGTCCAAAGGAACTGAAATGGCCAAAATAAGGCGCTCGTTCTTAGGTGTTGAGCACTCCACTTCCTCTTGGATAGTAAACTAGCAGAAATTATAATAATAGGGAGCCCTTCTAATAGGCTTTCAATGAAAATGATGCCTTTCTACAAGGCATCCTTGGTAAACGATCACAGCTTTGTTCATTTTGTCTCATTTGTCCACACTTCTTACGATGCATGTTCTGAAGAGCCGGCTATTCCAAGGTAGCCTAGAAATGCAAAAGGAATAACCTACTCGAAGGAGAAGATAATTGTTGACCATTGTGAAGTTGATCCATTTTAAACTTTGGCAAAACACGTTTCGGAATGCCTAAACCTGCCTGAGTGTGGCAGGAAAAAGCTGTAGAGGGTCTTTAATGGTGTGTTTTTCCAGTGTTCCCTGAGGAGCAATATGTTTTCACCTATACGGGGATTATGTTGTGCTTGGATAAAAGCTATGTATACACGGTTCTGTCCTGCATCTCTGCATCGTGTACTTGTAAGAATGGTGGGCCTGTCAGCCCCTCTGCCAGAGGGATGTTCTGTCAAGGCACCTGGCTTCTGGAACATGTGGAGTGAGGGAGGCTGTTCTTGGGGTTATGCTTATTGGCAGAAGGATTCACTCACCAGGTGGAGTAGGGGAGAGCAGGCAGAGGTGAGCGAAGAAAAGCAAGAGAAAGAGGCTGAGCTGGACCGCTTTCTCCGATCCTAGTCAGTCGAGTGGGGGCAGCTTCAAACTCTTGTTAAATACAGCACAGGCGTGTTTGTTTTTAGCCATACACTACTACTTGTTGATTGCCTAGATTCATGGCTTTCAATTTATGCTTCTGAGGACCCAGGGCTCCCTCAGAAGAGTCTTGGGGTTCCCTGATGAGACATGGCAATGATTTTTGCAAGCATACCTCAAAGAAAAGTCATTCATCAGTTGCATTCCCCCAAGGCATAGACCTTTAGAGGAGCACTGGACGTGCTTTCGAATAAATCCTTGTTTTAAAACCTTTCTTCTCTCTCCCATCCTCTCCCTCTTACAGGTGGCTTGATAAATACGTGGAAGCGCCGTTGGTGTGTCTTAAAAGATGAAACCTTCTTATGGTTCCGCTCAAAACAGGAAGCTCTGAAGCAAGGCTGGTTGCATAAGAAAGGTGGGGGATCATCCACACTTTCCAGAAGAAACTGGAAGAAACGCTGGTTTGTCCTACGGCAATCCCGGCTGATGTATTTTGAGAACGATAGTGAAGAAAAGCTCAAAGGAACACTTGAAATTCGAACAGCCAAGTAAGTACAGCTCTTCAAGGCATCCAAGGTGGCCTCTTCAACATCTTCAGAGGAAGGATCTGCCAGGTAGTCTGCTCCAGATCCTTTGGGGACCAGGCTGCTTCTCTGCTCAGCTTGAGCTATGAATTCAGCCTAAGTCTACGGTCAGGATAAAGGCTATCTCTAGAGGAGAAGGGAAGATGGTACCGTGTTTCCCCGAAAATAAGACCTAACCGGAAAATAAGCCCTAGCATGATTTTTCAGGATACTCGTAATATAAGCCCTACCCCAAAAATATAAGCACCAGTTAAGATCATCAGCCAGATGGGTGGGAAAACACGGTAGTGCATCTGTTGCAACACACGCTAGACGTGTTGAATTATACAATAATAATGTTAATATATAATTAAATATAAATAAATAATATTATTGACATTAATACTTGAAATAAATTATAATATCCATTATAATTATTTGTAAATACTGAAGCTGCGCCTTTGGACGAGAGGTAAATGCCTGTGTAAACAGATGAATGCGAGACATTGCCAATCAGAGTACAGACACAACGCACGACTAACGTCAATACGCCGTGTGTTGTAACAAACGTACTTAATGCATGGATACAAAATGCAGGATGGGTGTAAAAAGAAAGAGCTGTTCTACCGTGTGCAAGAAAGGAATCGTGGAGGACTCCCAGGGCAAGAATCTTACAGCTTTCGTATGAAAAAATAAGACATCACCCTAGTGCCCTAGTGCGTCTTTTGGAGGAAAGATTAATATAAGACCCGGTCATGGAATAGCTGCATGAGGCCTAATGCTAGAGCAGGGTGGGCAGCGAGGGTCTGACTCTGCTCCTGAGCCCACTGAGGCACTGCCCGCTCCTCTGTTGATACCCTAGTGACTGTCACATGTTCAAAGCAAAGTGATGGCCGCCACGTGCTGCCATCTGAATCTCCCATGAATGCCTCCCGTAGGGTGGCCTTGTGTCCTTTTCACAGATGACAGACTCCTCTGTTTGAATGGCAATCTAGCCCAAGCCTGGTTTAATGATAAAGAACCATCGGGGGAAGAGTGAGGCCTTAAAGCTGCCCATCAGCAGGTAGCACCTGGACACAGCACCTGGAGCTGGCACACAGGTGTCTGCATTTGCATCTATGCATATAAATACACATAGGCATGTTTATGCAAATTGACGCCCACTTTTTGTGACGCATTTCCTCTCCTTTGGCAATTCGTAAGTGGCCACTGCTGCTCTTGGGCAAGATTTAAATGTAATAATAATAATAATAATAATAATAATAATAATACTTGTCCTTTGTGACTAGCCGTGCCTCCCACCGGAGCAATTTTGTGTCAGTGCCCAAGGGAGCTTGTCAAATTGCCAGTTATGCACCTGGGTCCAAAAAGTTTCCCTGTCCTTGTACTAGAGTGTTGTGTGAACAAAAGAAAATTAAATCCAACACGTATTTTTCAATTGTGCAAGCAAAACATGTAAATGGCTATAAAACCTACCTGGAACAGCACGACACTGACTCCTTTTTGGCACTTACTTAAGTATTTGCTAAGCAGCTGCTTTGCTTTTCACCTCAGGGGAGGGGTTCATTAGAGTCTAAGCAGAATTTAGCTCCTGCTGAAATTGAAAAGATTGAAGTCATGGTGAATTTGTCCCATCAGTTTTATTGGGACCTAAATTCAATCAACCTATTCCAGCCCTTGATTGTTTGGAACCAAGCTTCTCTTCAGCTTAGTGTCCAGTTTAAACATCTTTTGAACTGCAGTGGCCGATGGCAGACACAGATCAAAGCAATAGCTAAAGAAAACTGAGAATAATATTTAGCAAATCTACAGTTAAAAACCTATATGGACAGAATGCATAGACAGAGGCCTGCATGAGAAGAGGGAGAAATGGTCTCTAGACATTTTAACTTGATTTTTTTTTGTGGGGGGTGGGGTATATCAAGGACTTGTCAGTATGAACATGTTGTACTTCTACCTTCAATTTCAGAGATATCATTGATAACACTAACAAAGAAAATGGGATTGACATTGTCATGGAAGATCGGACCTATCATTTGATTGCTGAGTCACCGGAAGATGCAAGGTAAACACTTCAGCCTTCTTTGAGTTATAAGTACTTTCATCCTTTTGGGTGTATACTTTTTAATTCCATTTGGTCAGCTCGAAAATTGCTCTTGCATCTGTCACTTGTGCTGCCACCACCATCACCGACAGAACCGTGTTTTCAGGTGTAGTTCCACTGCCTGTTTTCCAGGTATCCATGACTAAGATTTTCAATTGATGCTTGTGGGAAAATAACTGTTAAAGTGCTATACTCTGTAAACCTCTGTCTGGTCTTTTTTCCTGTTCATATTTTCTAGTTGCCAATCAGAATAAAAAAGATTCTCGCACATTTGTGCATGATAATTGTAGTTCACACAAGAGATAACTGAAGGATTTGTCAAATAGAATAGTGCGCAAGTGCTTTTTTAACCTCGCTAATCAGAAGCTTAAAAGCTTCAGGAGTGGAGAGAGACCATTCAGGATAATGGAATAAATGCTAATATTGCACTTAAGTCACAAGAGGAAACTAACATTTTTCAGAGTTTCAGGTTAGGAATTTTTTTTCCTTAGATCTCAGCCACTGCAAATGGAGCAATGATTTCCCTTAAGGTGTTTAAAGAACACCTTTCTTTCTAGTGGTCCGATTCTGTTGAAATCCCCAAGTTTCTTTAATTGCACTTGGTAATGTTCAGAAATATAAGTCTCAGACTGGTTTTTCCCTTTTTATCATCATGCCTGAAAAGAAATCTGCTGATGTGCCAACAAAATTTACTGGTGTTTAAGGTCACTTTTTTCCGATGACACGCAGACCTGCTCTTTTTCCAAAACATTAAGGTAATTTTGTGCATTTCAAAGTGTGTGTAGTGTACACAATGCACACATTCCAGGTTCATGTCATTTTCTTTATTTATCTTTCCATGAAACACTGTCCTTCTGAAATTAAAAGGTCTTGGGCTGAAAATCGGACTGTTGAATTGTTCAAACCTTCTGGCTACGGGGCTGAATCTTGTCCTGCCCATTTTTTTCCAGAAAAAGAAATGAGGGGAGAGCGGTCAAATTATTGCTTTCCTGATGCTTTCCTGATGCTGGTGCAGCTCCGTGAGAGTGCGCTAAGCTTTGCTTCCCTCATATTTTATTGGCATGAGAAGAAAGATTAAAAGACAAAACTGAAATGCTGATGTAGCCATCCCGTTTATGAAACCTGGCCACCAGTGTTGTTCTCTGGAGGATTTTGCCTCCCTAGCTCTCCAGATTCTTATCTCTTTTAGCCAAAGCAAACATGTAAGCAGGAAAAAACTGTGCTGCAGAGTTAGATTTCTCTCTTTCTCATCCTTCTTTGCTTTCAAGAAGTGTGCTTTTGTTTTTCATGCAGTTGACTACATAAGGTGTATCCAACTTACAGATACATAATATATTGTATTGAAATATATAGATTACTAAGTGCTGGCCTTAGCCTATCACATATACAAATGATTATATGTCATCAATAAAAAGAAATAAACAATGGAAAGTCATTATAAACACATGAACTTAGATTATCCAGGAGTAAGTAGAAAGTTTCAGATTTGTTAATACTTAATAACAAAGAGATAAGCCCAACTAGTCTGGCCAGCCAAATGACCAGAAGAAGTTAAAAAGTGCAGATGGTATTTTGGAAATGGAAATAATCATCCATGTTGTTTGTCCCAAAGCATGTGGCTACTGGATCATGGAACTTCCTTGCTACCTTGCCTAACAACCATTGGCCCTCTTCCAAATGTTCTAGTATTTTTAAAACTCCATATATTGACTATTGGTCATCTTGTGTCAATGAATTATAGGCATTAATATGTGTTGCATGGAAATTGCCTCTTTGTTTGTTATGCCAAGTCAGTACCTTTAAATTACCTTGACCATGCATATTTATTTAATAGATTCATATACTTCTGAACATGCTTCAAAATATCTTCCATATATGAAGGCTGAACAGAAGGGGTCTAACAGTGCTGTTTGGCTTGACTCCTGTGTTATTGGAAAAGTTGCCAGAAGAGTTAGCTATTATCTGTCCAAGGACCAGTGTAAAGTGCCATAAACAGAAGGATTATATACAAGTTAATGTTTAGGTGATTCAACTTGGACTATAATTGTTCTCTGTTTACTGAATCAAAAGCCCCTTTCAGATTTAGAAATGAAGAAAATACTCTTTTTCTGCCTAATCATTAGAAATCAATCTTCCTTGATAAAATGGGATGTATTGGATGGCCTTGAGCAAATCATTCTTGTCTCCACCTAACTCACAACACAGGTTTGTTGTGAGGATAAAATGAACTCTTTGTCAGTGACCCATGGGCTCCTTGAAAGAAAATTTGAATACAGGATGGGACAAAATGTCAGTATACCTAATCAACCATGTCCACTAATGAAATGGAGAAGCATGTCAGATGTCAAAGCTGAAATGAGGAATTGAGGTTCCTTTATAAAAAGAATATCATGGAGAGTTAATGCCAAGATGGTGAGCAAATGAACTGCAGCATAATCTGGCATGGGAAGAAATAATCCCAGTTATGCAGTGTTGGGCTATGCAGTCATTTTTGTTTCAGACATTAGAAACCCAGGAACAGAGAGAGTCAGAAGGGGTCTCCTGGACCATCTAGTCTGACCTTTGGCTCCAGCCGACTCCACTCATAACATGCCTACCATGTGCATGTTCAGCCTATCCTTAAACACCGATGGGGCTTCAGCCACCTCCTGTGGAAGCCCATTCCATGCCCTAGGGATCCTAACCATCAGGAAGTACTTCCTGGCATCCACCCTAAATCTTGGTTCCCTGAGCTTTGCTCCATTGGAATGGCTCCTGCCCTCCACTGCAGGGGGAAACGGTCACAACCCACCTCTGCATGACACCTCCTCACATACCTGTGTGTCGCTAACAGGTCCCCTCTGAGTCTCCTCTTCTCCAGTCTGAAAAGACCCAGTTCCCTCAGTCTCTCCTCATATGGCTTACCCTGCAAACCAACCACGATCCTTGTGGCCCTTCGCTGTACTGATTCCAAGCTTGCTATATCCCTCTTGTAATGGGGAGCCAAGAAGTGAACACAATACTCCAGCTGCGGGTGCACCAGAGTTGTATAGAGTGGCAGTAATACATCTCTCAATCTAGAAGTCACACTTTGGGCTATGCAACCAAGGGTGGCTTTCGCTCTCTTGGCCACCGCATCACACTGCTGGCTCTTGTTTCGTGTATCGTCAACCAGCACCCTGATATCCTTTCCATAAGTGCTGCTCTCCAGCCATTTGTCCCCAAACCTGTACTTATGACACCCTTCCTATGCTCCAAGTGCAAGACCTTGCACTTACCTGCATTGAATGCCATCCCGTTGTCCCCTGCCCACTTCCATAGTCTGTCCAAATCCTTTTGGATTCAGAGTACTTGCTCCTCAGTTGTGGCCACTGCCCCCATTTTAGTGTGGTCTGTGAATTTGATCCGCAGGCTTGTCACTCCCTCTTCCAGGTAATTGATGAAAAGATGAACAGGATTGGTCACAGGACAGAGCCCTGGGGGACCCCACTCATCACCGACTGCCCTCCCAATAATTCCCCACTAATAGTTACCCTCTGCTTTTGGTTCATCAGCCATGCCCTAATCCATCGGACAGTGCATCAGTCTATCCCAAAACTCCTCGATTTCCCAACCAGGATTTCATGCGGCACTTTGTCAAAGGCCTTGGTGAAATCTGGGTAAACCACATCCACTGCATCCCCCCCATTTAGCCACCTATACCCCCTCCCCTCTTTCCTTTCCTATCCTTTCTAAACAGGTGATACCCTTCTATGTTTACATTCTAATCTTGCCTTTCATCCCACCAAGTTTCCATGATCCCCACCAGGTCATACCCTCCTATTCCCAGGAGAGCTTCAAGCTCTTCCTGCTTATTACCCATCCTCCTAGCACTGGTATACATGCATCTCAGCTCCTTCCCACAGATCCCTTTTTTAGTTAATGCCGTGAACATCAGCTCCAAGTGGTGCAGATATTTAAAAAGCAAGTTTAGACATTTTGAGTGGTTTGGGGTTGAGAATTTTTGGGTTGTAGTAAGTTACAGGTATGTATATTCTCACACGGCCATACACTGGCATTTAGCTGCTTGGAAAATTAATGAAATCGATAAAGGAAGGTGTTGGATAAGTGGAGAACAAAAAGATTTTTTTCACATGCGATGCAATGCGTGAAGTCTATAAATATCAGAGCACAGTGATTCATTTAGTAAAATGTTTCAGGTTACAGTGAGGCTGGACCCTTTCAATAGTTGCATTTTCTTAAAAAATGACCTCTGTTGAATAGTTGCATTCATTATATATTCTCATATGTTTTGCCAAAATTTGGAACTAAGGTAAGGGTTAATAAGAAAAAAAATGAGAATCATTTGAATATTAGTGGACCCCATTTCTGAGGAACCCATAAAATATAAAGTAATTTTGAGACATGTTTTATGCATTGAATGAATTGTGTGTGGAGGTTTGGATATGCACTCTTGTTGTATGCCGTATCCTGAGGATTATCATTGTCCGAGAAGGCTTCAATGGAACAGAGATGCTCCTGTAGAATTAGTGATGTGTCCATTTGTAATAAAGGGGTTTCACACTTGTTGTTGTTGTTGTTGTTGTTGTTAGTTGCGAAGTCGTGTCCGACCCATCGCAACCCCATGAACAACATTCCTCCAGGCCTTCCTGTCCTCCACCATCCCCCAGAGTCCACCTAAGCTCACACCAACTGCTTCGGTGACTCCATCTAGCCACCTCATCCTCTGCCGTCCCCTTCTTCTTTTGCCATCTTTTGTTCCCAGCATTAGGCTCTTCTCCAGGGACTCCTTCCTTCTCATTAGGTGGCCAAAGTATTTGAGTTTAATCTTCACTATCTGGCCTTCTGAAGAGCAGTCAGGGTTGATCTCCTCTAGGACTGACCGGTTGGATCGCCTTGCGGTCCAAGGGACTCGCATGAGTCTCCTCCAGCACCACAATTCAAAGGCCTCAATCCTTTGGCGCTCACCCTTCCTTATGGTCCAGCTTTACAGCCATACATTGCAACTGGGAAAACCGTAGCCTTGACTATATGCACTTTTGTTGGCAGGGAGATGTCTCTGCTTTTTAGTATGCTGTCTAGATTTTCCATAGCTTTCCTCCCAAGGAGCAAGCATCTTTTAATTTCTTGGGTGCAGTCCCCGTCTGTGGTGATCTTGGAGCCCAGGAAAATAAAATCTGTCACTATCACACTTGTAATAATTAAAATTATTTCAATGTCATAATGGCATATAGACTGAAAATGGAGGTGAGTGGATTTAAAGCTGAAACCCAACAATCTCTATTTTGTATTTTGGCTTCAAGGGATTGAAACTGTTTAGAAGCTAATTAATAATGGCCTGCCAGAAACATGCATATCCTTCCAGGAGAAATTAATCAGCTCAGCGAACGTTGTTTCATATCAACACAGTAAGAAAAGCAGTCTACTAGAATGAGAGATGTTTATGCTGATCTTTCTCTTCTTCCTTCCCTCCCTGTCCCTGCAGTCAGTGGTTCAGTGTCTTGAGTCAGGTCCACGCGTCCACAGAGCAGGAGATCAGAGAAATGCATGACGAGCAGGCTAATCCACAGAACGCCGTGGTAAGTCAACCCCAGCAGTGTACCTGTTTAGGATCAGACTATCCTGGGGAATAGTGAGGATTTATCTCTGGCAACCCAGTTTCTTTTGTATGTCCCCAATGTTATTTTGGCAGTTGGTTGGGTGAATCCCACTGCTCCCTTTTGCCAGGGTGGAGGTTGGCTAGCTATTGTGAGGGCTTCTCTTTGGCATCCGTGTGGCAAAGCTAACACGGCCTGCTTTGCACACTGAGGTTAAGTGACACCACAGCAAGGATGGGATTTAATAACCTGAGCGCCACATGCACATGCCGCTCCAGGTGGGCATGCAGGCCACCTCTAGAAATTTGGGGATGGGTGGACTGGGAGATGCTGTTGGGAAAGGCAGTGGAAACCATCCAAACAGATGTTGGCTTGGACATCCAGTGCCATTGCCAGACAGATGTTGGCTTGGACACCCAGTGCCGTTGCCGCAACGCAAAGCAGCTTATCCAGCGGATCACACAGGATGGGAGCTAAATGTGCTTGCACTAGGCTCCCTTCTCCCTTGCACAGAAAGATTTCAAGAAATGGCACAGCCCTTGTGTGAGGATTAAGCAGTCCTTGCGTGGCCCTCACTTGCCGGGTTCTCATGCCATGTCATGGGTTGGATGTGTTTTCTGGCACCTGCAAGTGCCATCGATCTCCATGGGCTAAATGCCCCATCACAAACTGTGGGGTGTCATTCACACCTGGTCAGTTCGTCTCATCTGGCTGCTGGTTGCCATCCAGGCCCAATTCAAAGTGCCCGCATTGGTTTATTTATTTATTTGACTTGAATGCTGCACCCTTTTAGCCATAAGACTTTCTGGGCAGCTCACAACAGTAGTTAAAATAATGCAGTTAACAATGCATTTAACAACATGTAATAAAGAATAAAGGGCCAACAATAAAAGACTAAAATCAATAAATAAAAGGTAAACGCATTAAAAGGGACATCTGGAAGTAAACGCTCAATAAATCAGATTATTTAAAACAGCTTTGAGTAAAATAGAATAAGAGTATACATCAATACATCCAGTAAAAATTGTCTGGCAGCTAAAATCATAAAGCGACAGCAACAGAATAAACAGTTATAAAACCAGTAAAACTAAATCAACTAATCCCTCCCCCCAAAAAAATAATGGTTATAAAAAAGAAAGGTTTTTAATTGGTGTCTAAAAGAATAGAGGGATGACGTCAAGGGGATCTCAAACGGAAGTGAGTTCACAAGCAGGGGGCAACCATTTCCCCTTTACTTGTGGGGAGGGATACAAAGGAGAGCCCTGGAAGTGATGGGGCTGGTACATGGGGCAGTGGGCATTCTTTCAGATATCCTGGCCCCAAGCTGTTCAGGACTTCATATGCTATTGCAAGTGGCTTGAATTGAGCCATGCGGCAACTGGCAGCCAGTGTAGCCTGCGAGAGACTGGCGGGAAGCGTTCATGAAGGCCTGTCCTCGTCAGCGGACATGCTGCCCAGTTTTGAACAAGTTGCGATGTTCAGACTGTTTTCAAAGGCGGCCATTCATAGAGAACGTTACAGTTTACCAGGCACAAGGTTACAATCGTAAACATACTTACATAACATACAAAGCCCTAGAATCATAGAATCACAGAATAGTAGAGCTGGAAGGGGCCATGAAGGCCATCGAGTCCAACACCCTGCTGGTGCAGGACACCAAGTTACACTGTCCCACTCAGATGGCTGTCCAGTTTCTTTTTGAGTGTTTCTTGTGTGGGAGAGCCCACCACCTCTCCAGGCAGCTGGATCCACTGTCCTATTGCTCTGACAGTGAGGAAGCACTTCCTGATATCTAGCCTGAATCTGGGTTGTCGCAACTTGAACTGATTATTCTGTGTCCTCCACCCCGGTATCAATGGGAAGAGATATTGATATCATGTTCCCCCTCGCTCTTCTCAACCCTGAACATGCCCATTTCTCTCAGTCTCTCCTCACAGGGAAATGTTTCCAAACTGTGGATCATTTTTGTTGCCCTCCTCTGGACCCTTTCTAATTTTCCTGCATCTTTCTTAAACCTTGGTGCTCAGAATAGGACACAAGTATTCCAGATGAGGTCAGACTAGTGAGGAGTATAGAAGAACTACTGCTTCTTATGATTTGGAAGTAATACTTCCGTTAATGCACCTCAAAATAGCATTTGCCTTTTTGGCAGCTGCATCGCATTGTTGGTTCATGTTTAGCCTATTGTCCACAATTACTCTGAGATCTTTTTCTTTTTCAGTTCTGTTGAGCCACACATTCACCATCTTGTATCGATGCTTTTGGTTTCTTTTCTTTCTTTTCCAGCATGTACTTCCTCTTGATTGCAGATTTCCTTGTGGGAGAAGACTGAGGCGAAGTAGGAATTGAGCGCCTCTGCCTTTTCCTTGTCATCTGTTATCACTCTGCCATCCACTTTAAGTAGCTGGACACCCTTCTCTTCCTCACGCCTTTTGTACTGGATGTATCTGATGAAGGCTTTCTTGTTCTTAGCATCCCTTGCTGTTCTCAGTTCATTTCCTGCTTTAGCCTTCCTATGTTATTCCTGCAATTCCTTGCTATTTGTTTCTATCCTTCCTTTGTGGCCTGGCCCTGCTTTCACTTGCTTTACATGTTCTTTTTTGCTTTCAGGCTGTCACTTAACTTTTTATGGAGCCACGTGGGCTTCCTCTGCTGTCTTCTATACCTTTTTCTTGATGGAATTGTTTGTAGCTGTGCTTGGAGAATCTTCCTTTTCAAGATTTCCCTCGTGGACGCCTTTGCCCTTAAGGGTGTGTTGTGATGGCATTTCGGTTATCATTGTTCTGAGTTTGTCAAAGTTTGTTTTCTTGAAGTCCAGGATATGTATTAACCTTTTAACCTACAGTTAACCTTTGTTTCCTGTATAATTGAGAATTCAAGTATCGTGTGGTCACTTTCCCCCAGAGTTCCCATGGTTGTTATTTTGTCCACCAGGCCTTCCCTGTTAGTAAGTATTAAATTGAGGGTAGCTGATCATCTCACACATTCCTCTACTTTCTGCTGGAGAAAGTTGTTGGCAACACATGTCAGGGATCTTTTAAATGGCTAGGGGCCAGGATATCTGAGGGCACCTGTCTCCACATGTTCCAGCCTGATCATTAAGGTTCCTCATCAGAACCTCTTCTCTGGGTTGGCCAGGAGAAAGGCCTTTGGGATTTACTCCCAAAAGAAATTTGCCAGGCATCCTCAATTTTCCTTTGAACGCCACTGAAGATCTTTTTCTTTTGTGGTTACTTGGGTGAGTGAGTTGTTTTTATACTGGTTTATTGGTGCTGCTGCTGCCTTGCTAAGAGTTGTTAGTTGCCAGACAATAGTTACTTAGAATGATTATGTTCAATGGTTTCATTATTGATTGTTCACCTTTTTTTAAACTGTTTTATTCTCTTATTGTCTAAATTGAATCGATTTGATTTGGTGTTTTAGTGTTGTACCATGTAAGAGGCTTGGGCTAAGAGGTGCAGCAGGTACATGTAACAAATAAACAAATAGTCTTTGCAAGCTCTGCCTCATTAAAATTAGACTTCCTTGATTGCCTCACACATTGCTCACTTTTTGATGATTTGAATCCCTCAGTTTTCATTCTTCAAACCATTACCATAGTACTTCTAGCCTTTGCAGCCCTTCAGATCCCGTCGGGCAGTGAAGACTGTCTTTGTTTGTCGTTGTTTTGTATAGGGCACATTGGATGTGGGGCTGATTGATTCTGTCTGTGCATCTGACAATCCAGATCGGTAAGTTCTCCTTTGAGATGTGTGTGACATGTTTCAATAACTTTCTTACTGAAACTTTCCTGAGAGATGAAGGAAAAACCCTTAAAGCAGTCCATAATTCAGTTGTTGTATTTTGGACTACTGGGTGGAACCTCTCAGCATCAGAATATGTATCCTTTAATCTTTGCTCTAGAGTATCTCTACCAGCAAAGTTTCAATCTTGTTATCATTGAGAGATGCCTTACTAAGATGAAGGAGAAAAAGAAGCTGTGCTTCAGGCTACCTACCTGCTCCACATTTCAGAAGGATTACACTGGCCCAAGAATAAAGAGTACAGACTTTCTACTCATGATGATCTCAGCATGGAATTTTAACTTTATTTATAGCTGTGGTCAAACACAGTGACCAGAGTAAGCAAAAGCTCTCAGTCTGGACAATGAGCTGTAATTGTTTGAGGCAAATTCAAGGAGTGTGTAGCATTATTCCAGTTATGTCTCTTAACACTACAGCTAAACATACTGAGTGGGTTGGCATGGCACAAGAAACCTTTGTGGATCGTTGTGATGTCCAGACCCAGTTCCAGAGTTCCTGCATGGTAGGATTAGTCTTCTGGAACCCTGGTCAGTGCTAAGGTTTCCGCACTTCAGCACAAGTTCCAAACCCAGGATTGCCATGTTATCCTTGTGGGTATGGAGACACCATCGTGTCGCCGGCTGGGAAGTGCTGCACATGCGCAGCTGTGCTTGTAGCGGGGAGGGGGATCCTGCTGCAGGACTGCAGCAGACCAATTGGGAGGAGACTGCCGTGGCCTGCGGGCAAGAACAGGAAAGGGGTTGGGGGCTTGTTCCTCGGGGCTCCCAGGATGTATGGTGAGGCTGGGAGGATGGAACGGGGAGTACAGACCACACGCCTGTGTTACCACATGCTCATCTGACCAGTAAGTTGGAGCAAAAATCCACAGATTACAGAAGTAGCACAAGGTTCTCTGGCATGTCATGGGAACCCAGCTATGGGCTAGAGTCCAAAGAACTACTTCAAGCGCACCCAAAAGCTTTGACACACCCATGGGGCTTTCGACCGTGATGAGGAATTATTTGCAGGAAATGACTTTCCCTTTCAAAAGCGGTTTGTCGTGCAGCCTGGAAAGCCACTGTTTAGCAATCCTACCCAGAACTCCTTGGGGACTCACGGGACACGTTGCGGCATCAGGGGCCACTCGCACAGAACTGTTTATCATGCGCAGATGTAGGAAGAGGAGGCGTGCTGGGTCAGAGTGGTGGCCCCCCTTGCACGCACGAACCCAGCTGCCGCTGCCGCAGCGTCCTTGCATCCAGCCAGGAAGCAGGACGTCAGGAGAGCAAAAGATTCATCTCCCCATCTTCCTCCTTGGCAGCAGTGGGATGGATAGCAGGCCCAGAGAGAGTGGAAATCTGGAGGAAGTAGGAGCACTGGTAGGCAGAGGAAGTTGGGAGAAAGAAAGAGAAAGGAGAGGCAACAGGGAGGAATTGGGAGAGGAGGAACGAGGGGCAAGGAAAGGAAGAATCCCCCCACAAGAATGGCAAGCTCCAAAAAAGAATGGCAGGTGTTCCCAAAAGGATTGTCTGAGTACTCACCGGCCAGCCACTTCCCTGGCACCTGGGACGGCCATAATGAATTCCTCGCCATCATAAAGACTGCAACAAATTAGTTAGCACAGAAAAGGAGATGGTGGGGAGGGACAGCTCTCCTTTGCAATGTATGCAGTTTGCCTCTCAGGATCTGGGTTTTGGGATTGTGCCAGGCTGTCAAATGGCAAGATTTTGAAAACAAGTCTGCTACAGCACAATGATGAAGGAAATGGCTTAACATTTGTTCCAGTATACAGTGCAAACATGGTGGAGGTGCTTCTGCTGATAGCAAGCCAGACTCACTCTGTTGTGGTCACCAGTAATGCCCAGGTTCACTATATACGCCTTTTCCTTTCTGTGTGTCTTCTCTGCAGACCCAATTCGTTCGTGATCATCACCGCCAATCGCGTTCTTCATTGCAACGCGGACACTCCAGAGGAAATGCATCACTGGATCACCCTCCTGCAGAGATCGAAAGGGGACACTCGGGTTGAGGGACAGGAGTTCATAGTGAGGGGTAAGAACAGAGCACCTTGCCAAAGAAACCCCCCAGTGAAGCTCACCCATTTTACTTTATTTTATTCTATTTAACAAGCTCTAGCATTTGAAGAGCTTGCTAGTAATTTGCAGGGGATGAGGGCTGCCCTGCCTCCTTTTTCCAAATCTCTGGTTCAGAAAACCGTAGCAGAGACTGCGCCTTAGAAGCCTGCAGAAGTTTTTAAGGCACTATGAGAAGGAGATGCCCCTGCCGGCACCAGCACAGCTGGTTCCTGCAGCAGCACAGTGTTGCTGCGTGGCCGGCCCCCGGGCCCCACCCACCCCATCCCAGCAGCCTGTGCCTGGCAGAGCATGTTCCAAGGCCAGAGAGCACTGCCGGCTGGAAAAAATCGGAAGCACTGGAGCCGCACAGTTGGCGGAAGGGCTTCCTGCACTTGGTAGGATTAGAAACATAGAAGCCGAGCGAGTCAGAAGGGTCCTCCCGGGCCATCTAGTCTGACCCCCGGCTCCGCTCTCGACATGCCCACCATGTGCATGTCCAGCCTATCTTTGAACATCTTTGAATTAGAGGAAGCAGTCATACCAAATAGGATTAAACTTGCAATGTTCACTGAATCAGAGGGAATGCTCTTTGACGAACATGTGCGTGAAGCTGGGCACCTTACATAATTGGGCCTCATTAGCATGGGGGCTGAATGGTTGATTTACCTGATCAGAGGGAAGCATTTGTCTGCCAGTCCCACTCCTCACACCCCACCAGGCTGTTTTTCTTTTTTCTTTCTAAAAGGGTTTAGTTTAATTTAGAAAGTGTGTTTTCTTCTCCTGGCTAGGATGGTTGCACAAAGAGGTTAAGAACACTCCAAAGATGACTTCAATGAAACTGAAAAAGCGGTGGTTTGTTCTGACCCATAATTCCTTGGATTATTACAAAAGCTCAGAGAAGAATGCCCTCAAGTTGGGCACCTTAGTGCTAAACAGCCTCTGTTCTGTTGTGCCTCCCGATGAGAAGGTCTTCAAAGAGACAGGTAACTAGTTCAGTCACTAACTAGCCCTTTCCTTCTAGATTCCACTGGCAGGTGATCCATTAAGAACTTCATAAAAACTATGGCATTTTAGAACAATCTGAAGTTAAAACTTAATGCAAGTCCAACATATTAGGCCAAACCACAAGATGTGACTTACAGTTTGCTTGCTTGCTTGCTTTTCGCACCCATGTTGTTTTTGTTGCTAGCTCTGCTTTGCAGAGGGGACCTCGAAGGAGGATTAATGTGTCCACTTCAGAGACATAGGTCACTGTTTTGATCTGTACACTGGAAATGCAGAGTAGAATGTGCTTGCGTTGCTGCAAGAAAGTTAGACTCTACATACTAAAAACTGCTTCGGATCCATAATTCAAAACAAATTAGATTTATCAGCTTCGCTCCTTTAGTGGATGGTAAGAAAGTTCATCTTCTATTTATAGTCTAAATCAAATTAGCGAACTGTTTTCTTACTTGCTCTTCCCTTAGGATACTGGAATGTGACTGTGTATGGACGCAAACACTGTTACCGCCTGTATACCAAACTGCTCAATGAAGCCACTCGCTGGTCAAGTGCTATCCAGAATGTCATTGATACAAAGGCACCGATTGACACGCCCACCCAGCAACTTATTCAGGACATTAAGGTAGGTTTACAGCAGGGGTGCAGAACCAGTTCCACACCAGGCCAAATTCGACGTCACAGAGGCTCTGGGGGGCCTCATTCCAGTGGTGGGCAAGGCCAGAGGCCAAGGGGTGGGGGCCAGAATACGGGCATGTTTTAAAGCTCTTCAAGCCGGCAAGTAAGCTGCAGGAGAGGCGTTTCGGACTCTTAGAATGGGGAAGAAACTTCACCAAAGCCACAAAGCCATCATAGCTGGGGTAGGGCCAGGGTCCCCCTGGGGTGAGACCTTAGTGGGGACCCTCACAGGACAGATTTCACTCCCAGGCCTGCAGTTCTCCATCCCTCAGAGATAATCTTTGAAATTTTCCTTTGGTGAAGATACCACCTGACTCTTCCTGGCATCAAGACAAAGAGTGGACTTTTGGTAAATATTCAGCAACCAAGGTTCTTGTGTCCACATTAGCAACTAGTTGAGTTGCTTACTGTCACCAGGTGGCCACCCGGCATGTCCTTCAAACACTACCTTCGGTTCACAAAAGAAGGTAGAATACATAAAGGGTCCCTCGCAAGAGGAAAAAAAGCAAGATGTAACTGCAAAATAACAACATCCAAATGTAGATAATAATAAATTCTATTTTCTAATAGCAAATGCATTCTCTGGGTGAGGATGCTTATGGAACCAGAGCAGCACTGTGGGCAAAAGGGAAAGGCAACTGCAGGCTTGGGGGAAATGCCATGGGGTATCACAATATAAGCATAAATAAATGAATAAATGGAGCAAAGCCCGCAGAGGGAGAAACCACCCAGAAGGGACTGAACATGTGCAGGTGGGAATGGAACGAACCATCCTAGAAGAGGGGTGGTTGACCAGCCGGAGCCCTGAACAGAAGCGTAGCACTGTCTAACTATCTGTTGCGGGTCCCACTGGCATAGCGTTAATGCGAGAGCGATGGGGATGATGCTGCGATGATTCACATGGGTTCTCCGTTGTGGTCTCCGTGCATCACACCTGTGGGTGCTGCACTTGCACAGTGCCCCTGTTTGGGAAGACTCCCTCAGCATTAAGTGTATCCTGCCCCTTTCAACCGCCATTCGCTGTGCCTCGGGATTCTCCCACTGCTGTTTTCTTCTCACGAATATTTTTCCTCAGTTAATTTTCTGTTAATGTTAATTTTCAGTTAATATTTTTCCTCAGTTGCAGTTAATTTTTTCCTCACACTTCTTTGCTTAAATCTATTATCCTCTACCCCCTTTCTAATCAATTTCAGTTTTCCCGCTGAGGTATTCCACCCATTCCTAGAAGGAATTCCGGGCAGCCCTTGAAGGAAGAAAGCACACAAACCGTCTGTGGGAAGCGGCTGCACTGGGCACGTATTTGTGACCCTGGCGTCCCACAGCAGTCCCCCTAGGCTGGTGTGGGACTCAAGGCCTACAAAGAGGCAGCCTTGCTGCTCTGCAAACAGAACGAAGATCGGGCAGTTGCGGGATTTTTGCCTGCATTTATTTGGCAGTGCTGCTGCTTAGGTCTGCGCTGTTTCTCGATGGGGCAGCAGAAGGTGCTTTCTTTGGCTCTGCAGCAACAGGAGAGTGTTCGGTTGCTTTCCTGTTTCCTAGGGAGGAAGCATAATGGTTCCCCCAACTTCTCCGAACAAATATCTTCATCCCCCAGAAAGTGAATTTTGTCCCTGAATGGTTCTCATTCTGCCAGGCTTCCCCCCACTTTAAACTGTGTGACCTGAATCTCTGAGTATAATCTTATTTTATTTTTTGTGGTATTATTGTATATGTTTTAATCTACATTGTAAGCTTCCTTGCGGAGAAAAGGTAAGGTATGATTCCTCTAACTAAGTAAGAATGCGGGCTGCGAAATGTTTTAGAGGAGAATTCAAATACACGTCGGGGGTTTTTTTCCTGGCAAATCTCTCTTCCCTTTGGAGCTGTACTTAAGGAAACATCAGGTGGTTTACCCCAATCCTTCACACGGATTCTGTAGTGGATTATTTCTCACACCCGATGTGAATAATCTTAATTTCTTCATATTTACACAGGAGAACTGCCTGAACCCTGAAGTTGTCGAGCAGATCTATAAGAGGAACCCTATCCTTCGTTACACGCAGCATCCCCTGCATTCTCCACTCTTGCCCCTTCCGTATGGAGACATCAACCTGAGCAGTAAGTCCATCCCCCTCCACGTGCAGAACAGCCTTGGCTAAGACTCCCTGCAGTGGATGCTGGGCTTCCCTGGGAAGGGGCGCCTTCTGAGCCCCCTCCAGGCGTGCCGCTGCTCTGCTCAGCTGAACGCCTTGCCCAGGCAGCTGGACCTCCTCCCACATACTTCCCTCCATCCACACCGGTCTGCAGGTGGGAATGGCCAGAATGACACCAGGGAGTTGGGTGATGCATAGACTGCGGTACCCCATTGCTCTGGGGGTGATTCATTCATGAACCTTGCCAGCAAAGGATCTAGTGGCACCGGGGAAAGCTGAAGCTGGAAGGAGGCTGCTTTCTTGCACCTGGGAAGGAGGGGAATGCTGCAGAAGGGGGAAATGGCTCCCCTGTGTGGCAGCAGCAGCTCACCTGCTAGCAGCCAGGCCAACTTTTAAATCTTTGGCAAAATAACCAGCTCCGAGGAAGAGAGAGCAATGAACGAGGTAGAATTCTGTGTCACATTCATCTGAATTGTAAACATTTAATAAGACAATTAAAGTTCTGCTTACTGTATGTTGAATTTTGTAAACACAGAAGTTTAGACTGGCCACACCCATTGTTCTACAGGATCGCCCCATTTGAAGCACAATATTAATTTGATACCTGAGCAATTAAAGGCATACTTCCTCGTTCTCTTTTCTAGTGCTAAAAGATAAAGGCTACACCACTCTCCAGGATGAAGCCATCAAGATATTTAATTCGCTGCAGCAGCTGGAGTCTGTGTCCGATCCCATTCCTATTATTCAGGGTATTCTTCAGACAGGACATGATTTACGGCCGTTGCGTGACGAGCTCTACTGTCAGCTCATCAAGCAAACCTGCAAAATGCCTAATCCAGGGAGTGTCGGCAACCTGTACAGCTGGCAAATCCTCACATGCATGAGTTGCATGTTTCTGCCAAGCCGCAGTATTCTCAAGTACCTGAAGTTCCACCTGAAAAGGTAGGGAGAGCCAGGAATGCTTCCATACTGTGCAATAAGCAGTCTTTATTCATTTTTTCCTGTTTCTGGGAGAAAGATAAGCCCCAGCACTTGATAGCAATCCAAGAACCCAAAGTCCAGAATCCTCTCTCTGCCTTGCTCTTTCGATTAAGAATGCTACAGAAAAGCTGGAGTTGGTCCCATGGAAAGGGGATGAGGGAGGGAATAGATGAGAGACGTCACTTTGTAGAAACTAGTCCTTGGAGACAGGGTGGCTTGTACACGGAGAGTGTGCTGCAGCAGAGGGAAGAGAAGGAAATTAGCTTGGGCATAAGGGAGGAGGATTCCTCCATTACTCTAGTTTGCTTGCAACCAGGGCCTGCCCAGTGGTGGCTCCATACTGTTTGCAACTCATTTCCCAGGGAGACACAGATGGCCCCATCATTGCTAGCTTTTAAAAGAAATCCAGAAAGCATGTTCGTTCCACTGTGCATTGGTGCTTCAGAATAATTAGCTGCTGCTACTGCATGTCAGTTTAACTGTAATTTGCACGTTCTTGTTTTTATAATATTGTAAGCCACTTTCTGAGGCCAGTATGCCCTGGAAGGCAGGCTAAAAGCTTAAAAACAAATGGTGACTTTTCATAAACTAGTCTCGTTTCTGAGGAGAAATTGCCTGAATCTGAGCTATGATTAGACCCACCACTACACTGAAACTTTAGAGAGAAAAATCAGTTCTAGATATTAAAATTTACTTGACATACTCTTAGTGTCAAGTTAGTGGAAAGTAAGAATTACTGACTTTCCCGTCTTTTTGGGAAGAATTAATGCAGGGCAGGTTAAATCTTGCATGACACAATAGTTGCTCAGTAGAGCAGTGGAAAATGTTCATGGTGTATTTTATTTGATCCATGGACCCAACCCCATGGTGTACGTCTGCGTGAGCTTAGCGTTGAGAAAAAGGTGGTCCTGCAGGTGTGCCCTTGGTGATCTGCCTCGCAGGTCACGCTGGACTCCCCTTTCATACCTTTGGGAATAGGCATTGATCCCTCGGCACCCAAGAAAAGAAACCCTTAAATGGGAATATGAATAAGTCCAGCAACTGTTAGCTGGCCCAGCAAGGAGACACTGGAAATGAGAGCAGAACAAGGAAGACCAGCACCTGGACAAGTTTGGAGAAGAGCATGGGAGGCAGCTGAGAGACTGGCCAGACCCCCAAGGGACCTAGTTTCAGGAAAGGCGTACCCAGTAGCTATGAAAGGGGTGTCCAGAAGCAGCTGAGTGGGGAATGGGTCTTGTGGCTGGGGGGCAGGGGGAAGGGTGCAGAACGAAAGAGCAAAGGAACACTAGAACCCATATTCCTAGTACTGGGACACGTGGGGACACGAGGCCAAGTCTGAGGCTAGCTGAGGAACAGCTAAGGGCAGGCGTTAGTGAGGAGAGGGCAAGAAAAGGCCCAGTTGGAAAGACATCACTATGCGAGAGGCAGCCCAGAACAGAAGCAGGCAGGCACCTTCCCTGGTGCTCAAAGGGCAGAGAAACTCCAAACCCTGACGCTGGTGGAGGGATGGGCCCACACAAGGCAGGGGCAGGGTATAGCAGCATGTCTCAGGCTGTAAGCAGCAAATGCACAAAGGTTTCTGCTCAGTAATCTTGCTTACGGGAGAGGTCTATTGTGGAGCTGTGTCAAACAGGTGAAGCCCTTAGATGCAGAACCTCGCCTGGAGTGAGCAGGGAGGCTGGTGAAAAGGATCCCCCACCTCTGCCTGACATTTCTTGTGGAGCACCTTGTAATAATATCCTCTTAAACAGTGTCTCAAATCTCCAAAGATAAAACAACAACAACATGGCTTGAAGTTCAGTGTTTGTCCCTGCAGGATACACGATCAGTTTCCAGGAACAGAAATGGAAAAGTATGCTCTTTTCATCTATGAATCTCTCAAAAAGACCAAAGGCAGGGAGTTCGTTCCATCTCGGGAGGAAATCGAAGCCTTGATCAAAAGGCAGGAGATGAGCTCCACAGTCTGCTGTCACGGCGGGGGGTCCTGCAAAATCACCATTAGCTCCCACACCACCGCCGGCGAGGTGAGATGACGATGGGACGGAACACGGTTTCGTGAGGAGAACGACGGAGGGCCCCATCCCATGATGCATTTGCCATATGCATTTACACTTCTGCCACATGGGAACTCTTCAAAAATACACAGTTCCAAAGGAGGTGACACCGGAGAAGTGAAACGCAGAAGCTGTTTCTGCGCTAGCACTTTCCCTTTGAAATAGAAACATGGACTGTCCTTCTGGCATTGCATGTTCAGGCATCTTGTCTCCTAGATGTGCACCTGAGATAGCAGAGCCAGGAGCCTGGGCTGCACGGCTTAGTCTGAGTCGTGAAGAGTGGGTGGCTGGGCTGCTTGCCAGGGAGTTTGCGGGCTTTGATGCGTGGCTTATTCGCAGCCATACAGTTTTGATCAGTATGGAAGCATGTGGTGTTTGTGACTGTTGCTTGGATCTTTTTTCATTCAAGAGGACAGGAAGCTCTAATAAATTTGACTTATGCAGACTGGCAAGTCACAGGGCAAGGCCAGACAGTCCAGATCTGAAGAGCAGTATGCGGGGGGGGGGGGGGGACCGAAGAAGAAGCTGCGACAGTAATTTTGCAATGCCACCTAGTTATTCTTGTGCTTTGATTAATTACACTAATGTGGCATTGATGATTAAGATATATACCTCACGGGGTACTTTTATTAGAAGAACAGGCTATAAATAAAGATAATTAACATTATCAGTGTTATTTATAGTAGGGTGACTGCAGTTCTGCATGTGTCTGACTGGCTTCAAATTACTTTACAACAGAGAGAACTTGCAGCACAAGTAATTTAAAATGTCAACTTCCGAAAGTTAGGAAGGAAACCAATTAAAATGGACAAATGCTTAGGATCAAAAGAGACCACTCAGCAGACCAGACCCAGCAATTTTGAACTCTTAACTTGCCTTCGTTTTCTGTTAACTGATGATATTACCTTTTAGGATCTGCCTAGCCTTGTCTCATTTTGTTTGGTCTACTAGGTTGTTGAAAAGTTAATTCGAGGGCTGGCTATGGAAGATAGCCGAAATATGTTTGCTTTGTTTGAATACAATGGAAGTACTGAGAAAGCCATTGAAAGCAGGACTGTGGTGGCTGATGTCTTGGCAAAGTTTGAAAAGTGAGTGTCTCTCTCCAAATCAGTAAGCAATTAAAATCCCCAGCAGCAGCTTTCTAAATTTCATTTCCTCAAATCAATAGCATCTTTTTCTCCCACCACCCCCCGAAAAAAGGATTAATGAAGTGCCTGCTTGTGGATGTTTTCATCTTCTTTCCCTGTGGTACTTGTGTTCTGCTATCCTGTAATTGTTTCTTTGATCTCTTTCCAAAAGTAGGCCCTTGCCTCATTTCGATTTTGTCTACTCCAGACCTTTTCTTCTTCAGGATTTCCCACAACTGGTACATCTACTCCAGCTGTACCAGTCGTGGGCGCACCAGTGCCGTTTCAGGACAACATACAGCGACACAGAAGCCCATTTTCCAGGAGGTTCTTAAAGCAGAACCATGCTGAGCTCTTCTGCTCTTGCTTCTGATGCTGGAGCAAAACTGGTAGTAGCAACAGTGGCACAAGGCTATCAGAAGGTCTTCCCCAATTCCCCAGCTACCCTTATGTTAGATTTTGTTACAGGTTGGTGGGCTAATAATTAGGAAAAACTCCTTCAAATTTTACATTTTTACACCCTGTAAAACTATATGTTTCCTTCGGAGCTTTTACTCATCAATTAATATCCTCTTTGAGCGTTGATGTCTTCTATTCTCCTAGCCAGTGCGTGCAGCCCAAAATCTTGTCCTCTTGACTATCAGCTGTTCTGAGCCCACGTCTCCAGTGCTGGATCTCATATCGTTGTTTTCTTCATGAAAAAACCCTTTGTACCTAGAAAAAGAGCATTAGAGACTCGACTAGGTTGGAGTCTTCTCTCTGGCATTCTTAATGTATTTGCCCACTGGGAAATTTCAAAATCTCTGCTCCCGTCCTCACCCATAGCCTGGCTTGAAGTGGTACCTGACCTTTTGATTCAGCTGGATTCATAATGTGCTGCTCACATGCTGGTGCTGGGTCCCAGGTTCTTAATACTTTACATTGGCCAAATTCAGGAGGGACAATAAGTCGGAATTGCTGAGATTCTGTCTTTTGATTCATGAACAGCTCTAACTCCCAGGTTGTTCCCACTTGGCTCCTTTCACCAGCTGAGCAAACAAACAAGGAAGCAGTTGTTTCTGATTACATCCAAATCTAGACCAGAACTTGATCACTCCTTAACAAATCAGGAACTGGAAACCAGCTTCACTTCCTAACTGCAGATTCTGGTTTTTTCAAGGCAGTGGCAAACTGAGAGTCCAGATATGACAGGAAGCTTCTGCCTTCTCCTTGGTCTAGCCATCCCCACTGGTGGGGTAAAGCATTCATAAATGATAAGCAAATTGATGGCATCCTAAAGCCGCTATTGACTTGGTGTTTTGGATTTTAGCCAATAGCTTGCCCCAAGTAGCGCAGGAAATTTGGATCTAGTGTTATATACTGTTTCATTGTCAATTTGAGAGACTCTGATACTCACACAGCTGTGCACTTGCATTCCTCCAGGCTTGGTGCTGCTTCAGAAGGAGATACCACGGCATGGAAGTTTTACTTCAAGCTCTACTGCTTCCTGGACATTGAGCACGTTCCCAAAGACAGTGTGGAATTTGCATTCATGTTTGAGCAGGTAAATAAGAGGAAGAAGGTTTGCTTTTATACTTTGGGGAAGAGTACGCTTGTTTGTTTGTTTGTTTTTAAGAAGAATAGTGAACCTCTGGCCCTCAAGATGTTGCTGTACTATCACATCCATCTTTTCTGGCCATTGGCTACATTGCCTGGACCTGATGGAAGTTGGAATTCAGCAACATCTGGAAGGCTACAGGTTCCCCACCCCTGACATACATATTCAAATCCAGAGGCAGGTTAGAGCTACTGAAGCAGCAGGTTACACATGGTGCCTCAGTTTGCCTGTCCACAGAGGTGGAGCTTTCTTTAGGCGATACGCAGTGGTTGCCCCACGTCGAATTTTGTGTGCCTCTAAATAGTGGCCGAGCAGCAAAAGGGCAGGTTGCATTGCTCCAGCTTATTTTAGTGAGACGGGCACTGGAGAAATTCCAAGTGGATTGCATTCCATAGCCAGACATGGGTGCTATTAGAACTTGCCCAAATATCTTGGGGACAAATGGTTCCTAGTTCATTTGCTTCTACTTTTGAAAGAGCTGCTTCCAAATGTTCTATAAAATAATGATAATTTAACTCTGCCATATGGCAGTTTGCTGCCAAGGAGCTCAACTGCACCTACAGGGGATTCAGATGAAATGAATGTGTGAACGCTGACACAGGTTTCATTTTAGAATAAGGGTGTTAAGAAAATTAGTTATTTTCTAGATTATTATAGACAGGGCTTTTTTGTCATAGAACACACCGGAACGGCGTTCTGGCACCTTTTTTCCAATGGATTTTACGAAGAGATTTTGAATCGTAGCAGGTCAGCAGCAAACATCATTGACATAGTGCCCGGGGGCTGCTTTTGTGTCTGCTATCTGATAGTGAGATAGTGAGGGTGCTGCTCTGGGCTTGGGATGCTGCTCTGCTGCTCGGCTTGGGATTAGTGTGTGTGGTCGCACGCTTACTGCCAGCGATATGAGTTTCGGCACTTTTTTTTTTTTTTTTTACAAAAAAGCACTGATTATAGACAATGAAGGTAACAGCTGTGAAATTAAAATAATAATTTGGGGGTTTCCAAAACTTTTCAGAGAACTCTTTTCATGTGGACATGTCCAACACCTCTGTGTGTAGTAGAAGACTTTGGACATGCTCTGTCTAAGCCATGCTGTTTACACAGGATACTGACAAAACCTGCTGAGCCACAATTTCATTTCCTATAACCCCACTTACACGTGGTGTGGGCCGTTGAATGCTGGGCTTTATTGATCTGATTTACAATTTTCTTTTTAAAAGAACTCAGAGCAGCATACATCATTCTCCTCCTCCTGCTCTTAACCCTGTCCCCACAACAATAACAACAACCCTGTGAGGTAGGTCGGTCTGAGAGTCTGTGACTGGCCCAAAGTCACCCAGTTGGCTTCATGGGTCAGTGGGGTCTAGAAGCCAGACTATCTGAGTCCTGGTGTCTTAACCACATGACTTTAGAAAATATCCAGTATGCAGACTTTCTTATGCCTCATATTTGTATTTCCAGGTCTGATGCATTGAATCTGTTGAGTTTTTTTTTTTTAATGAACAATGGGATACAGTAGGAGTAAACTGTTATTAAGAAGGAAATCATTCTGTGATCCCATTGTATTTAAGCTGCTCATGTTACTCGGAAATGCAGCTTGCATTCTGAAAGCATCCGTGTGTGGGGTGGGGGGTGCTACTGTAGGAGCCTCCCTCCACACTGGGACTGAAAATTCCCCAGTCTCTGCTTCTCATCCCGAGGTGGTGCTTGGTTTGGCCTGTGCTGAAATGCTGGCGCTGTCAAGGTCTGAACCTTTCCCACAGCTCCCTGGAGACAACAGTGTGATCCACCCTGCAAGTACCTGTAGGACCAGGAGCAGGCCTCATTCCTGACAGGACTGGGGCACCTTCAATCACCCAGTGCAGCTGGAAGCTCTGGAAGACCCTATAAACGGCTTCCCTGTGCTGCTCCGCATTGCCATGGCAACACGGGTCCTGTGGGTGGCTGTGTCATGGTGCTGATCCTGACCCTTGGCTCCTGCCACCTCTGCCCGTGTCTTCAGTCTGAGCCTGCCTGGTCAGGTTCTGTTCTGTCCTCTCTGCCCTTGCTTTGCTCCTGGCCTGCCAAATTTTGCCAGTATCCGAGCTCAGTTCGCATGTGGACTTCGGCCAGCCTTCTGACGTCCCACTAAGACTTCATTCCTCCCCAACCCTGTCCGGCTGTTCTCGCTGTAGGCCCTAGCTGCCTGCCTCCCAGTGCTCATGGGTCAGCTATTTCTGCAGGAAGCTTCATGAACAAATGTTAACTGTTTGGAACTAAAATGCCTCCTTCCAGACTTTTTTGTTTTCTTGGAATTAGAATGTGTTGATCTACTTCTGTACAAGCTTTTCAGGTAGCTTCGAACTAAAGTACTTGACAGTCATCTCTTTTTCACATTTATTATTATTTATTTTATTTATTTGGAACACTTATGTGCTGCCCCATTTGCAAAAGCCTCGGGGTGGCTTCCAATACAAATAAATACTATACAATTACATTAAAAATCTGGAGACATCCTGGTATAGATATAAAATCAATAAATAAATTCAACAATTGAAATAACATTTAAATAAAAAGGTCATGGCCTGGCACCAAAAAACAAATAACGATGGCGCCAGGTGGACCTTTCTGGGGAGCGCATTCCACAGATGGGGTGCCACCACAGAGAAGGGCCTCCTCCGGGTACTCACCCTCCTAACATCTTTCACGGAGGGTTCCTGGAGAAGGGCCTCTGCTGCCGATCTCAAGGGGCGAGCAGGCATATATGGACATAAGCGCTCTTTCAGTAGCCAGGACCCAAGCCGTTGAGGGCTTTGTAGGTGATAACCAGCACCTTGAATTGGTCCCGGACTTCAGTGGGGAGCCTGTGAAGCTGACGGAGGACAAGGGTCATGTGAGCACAACGCCCAGTCCCCGTCAGCAACCTGGCAGCTCTGTTTTGCACCAGTTCTTCTTTTCACATTCTTAATCAACTTAATAATCAATTTCAGTTTTTTGAGTAGCCTGGAAGTACCTTAAGCATTGAGTATGATTCCACCATTTCTAGAAAGAGTTTAAACTTGTTCGATTTTCAGATTTTTCTACTAATTGGGTTTTGAGGGGCTTCATTTATGTTACATTTTAGTTTTAGAATCATAGGCTAGTAGAGCTGGAAGGGACCATGAAGGCCATCGGGTCCAACCTCCTGCTGTTGCAGGACACCACGTTACACCATCCCACTCAGGTGGCTGTCCAGTTTCAACTTGAATGGCTCTAGTGTGGGAGAGCCCACCACCTCTCTGGCATCTGGTTCCACTGGTGTATTGCTCCGACAGAGTAAAGAAGATTTTCCTGATGTTCAGCCTGAATCTGGGATGTCACAATTGAATTGATTATTCCACGTCCCCCCTCAGTCTTCTCTTCTCAAGGCTGAACATACCGAGTTCTCTCAGTATCTCCTAATAGAGCAGTATTTCCAGTCCCTGGATCATTTTTGTTGCCCTCCTGTGGACCCTTCCTAGTTTTTGTGCATCTTTCTACACTCCTGCTGCTCTGTACCAGGCACAGTATTCCAGATGTGGTCTGACTAGTGAGGAGTATAGGGGGACTACTACTTCTCATGATTTGGAAGTAATACTTCTGTCAATGCATCCCAAAAGAGCATTTGCCCTTTTGGGGGCTGCATCGCATTGTTGGCTCACGTTTAGCCTATTGTCCACAATTACTCTGAGATCTTTTTCAGTTCTGTTGAGCCACACATTCACCATCTTGTATCAACGTCTTTGGTTTCTTTTTCCTAGGTGGAGCATTTAGCACTTGTCCTTATTGAATTTCATTCTGTTGCTTTCAGCCCAGTGTTCAAGTTTAGCAAGATCGCCTGAATCTTCATTCTGTCTTCTAGGGTGTTTGCTGTTCCACCCAGTTTTGTATCATGTGCAAATCTGATTATCTTTCCTTGTACTTCCTCAACCAAATCATTAATAAAGAGGTTGAAGAGCCTGACACTGAAACATCTATAACATCAGCACCAGGCGTATCTTCCTGGGGAGCTGATTCCACAGACAAGGCACCACCGCCAAGAAGGTGCCCACGGAGCCTCCCTCTTTACTTCCTTCAGCAATGGCTCACAGAGAAGGACCTCTGTAGATGACCTAAGGGTGTGGGCAGGTGCTTATGGGAAAAGGACCTCTGTATAGCCAGGCCCTAAGGCATTTGGGGCTTTATATGTTAGGTTAGCATAATCATCTTAAAGCAGGCCCGGGCTTCATTTGGTACCCGGTGCAGGTGATACAACCCCGGGCCGCTGTTGCTGTAGTGGGATTTTCCCCAGTACCCTTGCATCTAAAATAAGCACAGTTTATTTTGCAATTAGGGACTGCAGTTGTTTAGGAAGAAGCCAGTTTGCAGGAGGGGAAATGCTGCTTGACTGCTCTCTGGTGGCCATCATCATATGAGCACCCAGGTGCTCCCTTAAGAGAAGTAACCCAGCTGGAAGGACTTCAGTGCTGTGGCAGCAACACCCATTCCCTCATGCCTAGACACAGTGGTCCACACGCCAGTGACCTCACCATCAGGCAGCCGTAGCGCACTCTGCGTGGAGCTGTGCTGGGGCCGGCTCAGGAGCTGCAGCTCCTGCAGGGCGCAGGATCCAGGATGGTCTGGGGTAGCCGCTGTGGACGCATCGCGGCTGCAAGAACAGAATCGCGCTGGCTGCCTCTTTGGTACTGGGTCATCGTCAGAGTGTTGTTGTTGACATAGCTTTTGACCACCACACCCACTGGACGGCCTTCCCTGCTATAAATCCCAGCCGTCTCTAGGATGTTCGCACAACCTGGCTTGCTGAAAGTGGCCTTCACAGGGGCCTGCTCTTCAGGATGCGGCTCCCTTCAGGTTCAGGAGTCAGGACGTGTGGCGTGTTTCGAACCTCCTGAAAATGTGCTCACTTAGGCAAACTTTCTCTGGCTTATAATTCTTCTTCTTCTTCTTCTTCTTCTTCTTCTTCTTCTTCTTCTTCTT